ATGCTAAATATTGCTGCACCCAAGTCACTTTGTGGATCTCGCCCTTACGTGACTTGCTTAAGATCACGCAGTATGCTAGCTGCAGAGCTAAGGGGACTTGTGCTCTTGCCTTCAGTGCAGGAGACCAATCATCAATTCTGGCAAGGACATACAGGAATGAGTAGCAGCTAGTGTTGCCTAGGCTTTGTAGCGAGAACTGAATTCTACAAATAAGAATATAATTATAATAATAATTTCAATAAAGAATAATTTCCATTGTCAGCTAAAGAAGTGGCTCATCTATAATTCCAGCTGGAGAGCAGAAATTGAATAATAAATAAACAATTCACTTTAATTTTTGCCTAAATCGCAAACAAAAAAAAATCCATTACATCTCGGAAAGGCTGAAGGGTGAGTATGAATGCACGTTAGCAACATTAAAGCAACAACTTCCAAACCTCTTCATTTAAAGGGAATAATGTCAGTCAGCATTTTATTTGCTGTGTTATCTTCCTGTATAATATCTGCATTATTATCTTCCTGTATAATAATGAAGTTTAATTCAGAGCCAAAATTAAATGAATCCAAAACGGCAATCACAAACATAAAAATAAATAAATAAACCCTGCGGTTTCAGGCATTTGGAATATTTATTTTCCTGCCCTCTTTTGTTTTGCAAAATCCACCCTTTGAAATTCAGAAACAGTTAAGTGACAAACTTATATACCAGAATTTAAAAAAGTGTGTTTGTTATAACAAGAGACATAATATTTAGTATTTATAACACACGTAGTTTTCGTCCAAAAGTTTCAAGGTGCTTCAAAAAACCTGCATTTTTGTTGTAGCTGTGTCTGTCCGATGATATTAGAGCGACAAGATGGGTGAGATAATATCTTTTGTTGGACAAGCCTCTCTCTCTCACCAACTGAAATTGAGTAAAAAAAGACAGAGTCATGTCTTTTAAAAACATTTGGCATATCTATATTATCCCTCTTTTATGCTGGAAAAACTGAGGCACAAAAATCTTAAAGAGACTTCAGATCTGGGATCTGACATGTGACTAACATCAAGTATATTTCATGGTATTTCATTGTTGTGACCTTCATCTTCTAATGTCTTTCACGACTGTTTATTGTCCTCTCTCTCCCTGTAAAATGTAGTATTAATTGTAAACTCATTAGAATAGGAACCTGTGTAAAGTGCTTTGAGCTCTGCTTGCAGCAAGTGCTATGTAAGAGCTATATATCTCATGGCTATCTGGTGTGTAAGGTGGGGGAAGACTCTCCCTTCCCAAACTGCCAGCCTGGCCCCGCCCACACTCTGCCCCCAGAACACCTACTGTAGGCATTCTGGGGGTGGAGTGTTGCTGCTCCTGAGTGCCTGTCCTCCCCATGCTGGAGAAGCTGGGCGGTGTGCCCTCCTCCCTTCCCCAGTGCTCTGGGGCTAGAGAGGCTGGGCTCCCCCCTCCCCACTCCTGCGCTCAGGGGATGGAGAGACTGGGCCAGGCAGTGCGCCCTCCTCTGGGCCTGGGGTGAGTGTGTGCCCTCCCACTGCTCTCCCCTCCCCGTGGTTGGAAGGGGCAAGGCATGCTTATGGCACGCCATGCTGCCGCCCCATGGGGGAAGGCTGGAAAGAGGCAGGGCCTCAGCCGAAGAGGCAGAGCTGGAGGTGGGTCTTGGGGCTTGCCCCCCTGAGACCTGTCTTCACCAACTGCCCATGATGTATCTTTAGTACAGATTGGACCTACCTAGTTCAGCACCTTTGGGACCAGACCAGTCCCAAACGAGAGAGTTTGTCAGAGCAGGGGAGATCAATTCTGGCCCCTCTGCTGACAGACTCCGGGCTCTCTCAGCATCTATCAGCAGACCCAGCTGGACTCCCTTCCTGGCTATGGCATGCTACTCCCAGCCTCTAGGCCACCAGCACCAGCTGCTGGACTTTGTGCTCTTGGGCTGCTGGCCCCAACTGCTGGGCTCTCTGCCCCTGGCTGGGCTCTGCTGCCAGCCCTAGACACTGGTCCATCCCTGGCTGTCAGGCTCCCTTCCTCTGGGTCAGCTCTGCTGCCATCCCTGGCCACCAGTCTCTCAGCTCCATTCCTTGCTGCTGGACTCCCAGCCACTGGGTCTCTCTGGTCTAGGGAATCTCTGGACAGCAAAATCCATGGTAAAGTATTGTATTTCATTTCTACCATGCATATCTCATTGTTAGACAATGTTCCATCAGACTTCATGCCTTTGATAAAGCATTCTCAATGGGTAGAAAAAATGTAGCACAAGTAAAGAAAATGCAAACTTAGGCTCACCATTGGCAGAAAATTTGCCAATTGCTTGTCTCTGAGGGAAAGTTAGCTAGGGCTTGTGACAGCTGAAAACAATGTAGAAGTAAAATTAAAATCTGCAAGAATTCAAAAGTCATTGAAGATACAGTAATGATGCAATTAATAAAAATAAGACTTTTGCCTTTTCAAGTAAGCCTTTCATTTGCAGACTGCAGTGATTTACAGGAATTAATTAAGATTTACAACAAGCTTCTGATGTATCCTACCAAAGAAGGACTATCATTAGAGCTCAGTGTGCTGTTCAATTTGCTAGATACAATGTATAAAACCTTAAATAGTCTGTCAGTGTTTCTCAACCAGTGGTACGAGTATGTTTAAGGGTACTCGAGAGAAGTCTGGGGGGTACGTCAACACAATTGAAATTTGGAGAAAACTGAATTTTTGTTTTAAGTTTTACAGCGTTTTATTATTTTTTACTTTTTACACCCAAAAATGCCATTGCTTGCCCAGCTATGATTAAACTGTTTAAACAAATGTGTTGCAACAGTAGAAAAAAAATGGTGTGTCTGAAATCTGTAGGTATGGGGGAGGGGAAAGTACTTATAATTTTTTTTTATTTAAAAAGTGGTAACTTTATAAAAAAAAAAGGTTGAGAAACACTGGTCTAAAACATGACTGTGTTAGAATCTGCCTCTTACTGATGCCCTATTGGCATAGCTGGGATGCTATCAGAGTCTAGGGCTGAAATCTGTGGCGGCCCGTTTCCTGCCTTCTAAGGGGAGGGAGGAGCAGCACAGAATTCATGCTAAAACAATTAGAAGTATCATGATCATGACATTTAGATCTACTAAATGCCCATGAGAACTGTTAGGCAACCTTGGGACTTAATGCAGGGCATACTTTTCAAGGCAGATATTTTTTCTCTTTACTGGTTGGTCCTGCAGCCAGAACTACAGTGGCAGCTGAAGAGTGGATGTGGTTATCTCTGCCCACTGATGACAGTGTGTGTGTGTTTATTGCTTTCCATTCGCTACAGTGCCCCTGTCTACAGCACTGGAAAAATAACTGGGCAGCAAGTCTAATGTGTTAAATAAAATTACGTGTGCTGTCAATGTGCTAATAAAATGTTTGACTTTAACTACTTAGCCAGTGCCAAGGGCTAGGGAGGCCATTTCTCAGTGTCTTAAATGATTGCCTCTAAGAAGAACACACAGTGAAGAAGCTAATATCAAGTTAAAGCTTAGTTACCCAGAAGCTGATTCAAAAGTTAGCTGTGGTTGAGCCACTAAATAATAGCAACCATACTACAATTCAGCTGAATTTCAGTTGGGTGAAAGTGTATCAAAAACCTTGACTAACTTTTAGAAAGGGGGAGTTTTAAAAAGAGGAAGCTTTGAAGAGTGAGGATGATGCCTGTCATAGGGACCCTACATTCAAAAGTAAGGACATTAAAATCCTTACACTCAGCCTGGAAGTTACTTAAGCAACATTAATAGAGTTATATTATATGAATAAGAGGTTACCACTCAGTCCTTCCGTTACTGAAACTACTAGTGAAGTCAAGGAAAGGCACATAACTATGACATTTAAAAGGTAAGCTGGGAATAGAATGGGGAAGGGGACAAGGTGGAATCTGAAGAGCAACAAGCTAGGCAGGTACAAACAAATAGGATATTCTCAGATGTAGCAGGAAGCCTGTGAGAATCTGCAGGGCTGTTGGACTGGGAAGGAGGAAAGGAAGTAGATAGGAGGATAAGACCATTGTACAGGAACTACATTATCTCAGCTGTAACTACATCAGCAGCTTGGCACTATGAACGAGGCCAAGCAGGTAATATCAAGAGCAGCCTGGTCTGGGGGACTCCTGTATGTGCTTTAGCTACCCAGATTGCACGGCAGGTCGCCATAGTATTCACTGGCTTGCCCCATACGTGGAAATGAAACGGGGGCTGGTTTGTTAGAGCCTCGGCTACACGTCGCGGTGCACTTAGAGCCTTGCCATGTGTGCGCGCGCTCTGCCTCCTGCTTGGAGCTGGCCAGCTGCGGCCCCAGG